TTCAAATGAATTCTTTTTAATGGCTGAGTAATATTCCATGGTGTATATGTACCACAGCTTCCTCATCCATTCGTCTGCTGATGGGCATCTGGGTTGCTTCCATGTCCTGGCTATTATAAACAGTGCTGCGATGAACATTGGGGTGCACGTGTCTCTTTCAGATCTGGTTTCCTTGGTGTGTATGCCCAGAAGTGGGATTGCTGGGTCATATGGCAGTTCTATTTCCAGCTTTTTAAGAAATCTCCACACTGTTTTCCATAGTGGCTGTACTAATTTGCATTCCCACCAACAGTGTAAGAGGGTTCCCTTTTCTCCACACCCTCTCCAGCATTTATTGCTTGTAGACTTTTGGATAGCAGCCATCCTGACTGGCGTATAATGGTACCTCATTGTGGTTTTGATTTGCATTTCTCTGATAATGAGTGATGTTGAGCATCTTTTCATGTGTTTGTTAGCCATCTGTATGTCTTCCTTGGAGAAATGTCTGTTGAGTTCTTTGGCCCATTTTTTGATTGGGTCATTTATTTTTCTGGAGTTGAGCTGGAGGAGTTGCTTGTATATTTTTGAGATTAATCCTTTGTCTGTTGCTTTGTTTGCTATTATTTTCTCCCAATCTGAGGGCTGTATTTTCACCTTGCTTATAGTTTCCTTTGTTGCAGCACCCACAATTCAAAAGCATCAATACTTCCGTGCTTAGCCTTCTTTATGGTCCAACACTCACATCCGTTTATGACTACTGGAATAAACATAGCTTTGACTATAAGAACCTTTGTTGGCAAAGTGATGTCTTTGCTTTTTAATACCTTGTCTAGGTTTGTCATAGCTTTTCTTCCAAGGAGCAAGCATCTTTTAATTTCATGGCTGAATCACCGTCCACAATGATTTTGGAGCCCAAGAAAACAAAATCTGTCACTGTTTCCCCATCTATTTGCCATGAAGTGATGGGACCGGATGCTATGATCTTAGTTTTTTGAATGTTGAGTTTTAAGCCAGCTTTTTCACTCTCCTCTTTCACCCTCATCAAGAGGCTCTTAGATTCTCTTCACTTTCTGCCATTAGAGTGGTTTCATCTGCATATCTGAGGCTCTTGATATTTCTCTGAGCAATCTTGATTTCAGCTTGTGATTCATCCAGCCCAGCATTTTGCATGATGTATTCTGCAAAGAAGTTAAACAAGCAGGGTGACAATACATAGCCTTGAATACTCCTTTCCCCATTTGGAACCAATCCATTGTTCCATGTTGGTTCTAACAGGTGCTTCTTGACTTGCATACAGGTTTCTCAGGAGGCAGGTAAAATGGCCTGGTATTCCCATCTCTTTAAGAGTTTGTTGTGATCCATGCAATCAAAGGTGTTAGTGTAGTCAATGAAGCAGAAGTAGATGTTTTTCTGGCATTTCCTTGCTTTCTCTATGACCCAACAAATGTTGGCAGTTTGAGCTCTGGTTCCTCTGCCTTTTCTAAACCCAGCTGGTACATCTGGAAGTTCTCAGTTCACATAGTTGCTGAAGCCTAGTTTGAAGGATTCTGAGCACAGCCTTACTAGCATGTCAAACGAGTGCAGCTGCACAGCAGTTTGCGCATTCTTTGGCATTGCCCTTCTTTGGGATTGGGATGAAAAACCTGACCTTTTCCAGTCCTGTGGCCACTGCTGAGGTTTCGAAATTTGCTCACATACTGAGTGCAGCACTTTCACAGCATCATCTTTTAGAATTTGAAATAACTCAGCTGGAATTCCGTCACCTCCACCAGTTTTGTACACAGTAATGCCCTTAAGGCCCACTTGACTTCACACTCCAGGATGTCTGGCCCTAAGTGTGTGACCACACCATCGTGGTTATCCAGGTCATGAATACCTTTTTTGTACAGGTCTGTGTATTTTTGCCACCTCTTCTCACTCTCCTCTGCTTCAGTTGGGTCCTTACCGTTCCTGTCCTTTATCGTGCCCATCCTTCATGAAGTGGTCCCTTGATATCTCCAGTTTGCTTGAAGAGATCTCTAGTCTTTCCCATTCTGTCGTTTCCCTCTATTTCTTTGCATTGTTCACTTAAGAAGGCCTTCTTCTCTCTCCCTGCTATTCTTTGGAACTCTGCGTTCAGTTTGTCTAACTTTCCCATTCTCCCTTGCCTTTTGCTTCTCTTCTTTTCTCAGCTATGTGTACAGGTTCTTCAGACAACCACTTTGCCTTCTTGCATTTCTTTTTCCTTGGGATGGTTTTGGTCTCGGCCTCCTGTACACTGTTACAAACCTCCATCAGTTCCTCAGGTACTGTGTTTACCAATCTAATCCCTTGACTCTATTCATCACTCCCACTGTATAATCATAAGGGATTTGAAGTAGGTCACACCTGAATGGCTGACTGGTTTTCCCTACCTTTTTCAATTTAAGTATGAATTTTGCAATAAAGAACTGATTACCTGAGCCACAGTCATCAGATTTTGTTTTTTCTGACTGTACAGAGTTTCTCCATCTTTGGCTGCAAAGAATAGAGTCAGTCTGATTTTGGTACTGACTATCTGGTGTGTCTGTGTGTAGAGTCATCTCTTGTGTTGTTGGGTGTTTGCTATAACCAGTCATTCTCTTGGCAAAATTCTGTGAGCCTTTTCCCTGCTTCATTTTGTAATCCAAGGCCAAACTTCCCTGTTATTCTGGGTATCTTTTGACTTTCTAGTTTTGCATTCATCCAATATTACATATACCAAAATATAAGGCAAGAAAGTTACCTTTTGGTCAACTTACATTCAAATAGAGGTTTTAGAGCTCAAATCAGTTTTTTTTTTAAAAAAGGAAAATACAGAAATTCAACAATACACTAGCAGTAAGACACTCCCAGGAGTACAACTTAACGTTTGAAGGCTTGAATTAGAATAGCTTTAGATGTCCTTTGGCAGATCAATGGATAAGGAAATTGTGGTACATGTACATAATGGAATATTATTCACCTATAAAAAGAACACATTTGAGTCAGTTCTAATGAGGTGGATGAAACAAGAGCCTATTATACAGAATGAAGTAAGTCAGAAAGAGAAATACCAAAACAGTATATTAACACGTATATATGGCATTTAGAAAGATGGTAATGATGACCCTATATGCAAGACAGCAAAAGAGACAAAGATGTAAAGAACAGACTTTTGGACTCTGTGGGAGAAGGCGAGGGTGGGACGATATGAGAAAATAGCGCTGAAACATGTGAAATAGATGACCAGTGCAAGTTCGATGCATGACGCAGGGCACTCAAAGCTGGTGCTCTGGGACCACCCAGAGGGATGGGGTGGGAAGAGAGGTGGGAGGTGGGAGAGGGGAGGGGGGTTCAAGATGGCGGGACATGTGTACACCCATGGCTGATTCGTGTCGATGTATGGTAAAAACCACCACAATATTGTAAAGTAATTAGCCTCCAACTAAAATAAATAAATTACTTAAATTAATTAAATAAAATAAATTTAAAAGGGCATTGAAAAAAAGAAATACAGTCCTTTCAAACAGGAAAGTTTTAAAAAAGCTGGCCACTTGAGTTTCCTACAAATGGGTTTTCACGGCTTGGACAAATTTTCCAGTCATATAGTCACATATGGATTCTAAAACTACTGAATCCCAAACAGTTGAGAGGGAAGTGAAGATGATCTAGTATCTAAACAGGAACTTGTGCCCCAAATAACACTTACACATTTCCACTGTTTTCATTCACTGAGCACACACACAGTACCTGAGTGCCCACTGAAAGCAGAATCCAAAGCTTTCTGAGTTAAATATCCCCACAAGGGGGCATCACCTCTCACCTTCCAAATCAGAGACTAGACCAGCTCTTCCTGTGGACACTGAACTTAAAACCATTATGTGGGGCAATGCTGATCCAACAACACTTACTTATTAATTGGTACTGCACAGAGAAGACATCATTTAACAAATGTCCAACGATCCTCTACTTCGAAGACAAGATGATTCATTTCTGCTTTATAACTGCAGAAGTGTCTCATACATAATGACAATTAATTGCAAAGCATAACAGCTGAGATACTTAATGGAGTCCACGTAGAGTGTGTAATAGATGACCAACTATGACAGTCGCTGTTCAATTAAAGACAGTGACATAAATATAAGGAGAATGCCATCCTTTGCATTTGGTTTAGTTTTTACAGGTCTCACATTACCGGAAGCAACTCTGTAAGGTGTAGCCTATTTACAGATTTGCTAAGTGTAAAATGAAAGTGATATACAGACTTCTTTTATCCCTTGGAAAAGAAGTAATACATTTTATGTTTGCAGACATAGGAAGTGCCAGTTATTTATCTTAAGAGATTAATAATTCAACATACATGCAACCCAAAACAAAGTATTCATCATTGCTAGCTGGAAGTGACAATTTGATTTTTCATATAGCCCACAACAGTCTAGAAGTAAACTGTATTTGAACACAGTCTAAAATGAAACAATGACTAATTCTGTTAATGATACAGTGAATTAACAGCAATTATAGAGTTGGCTGAATGCCTGAATGTTCAGCTAGTGCTACATGACAGACACTTTCCTCTGAAAGCGGCAGAGTGTTCATAAATACCACAGAAGTTTCCATAGTCTGTGTGTGTTCTGGGGTGGGGGTGGGGTAATGGTTCCCTATGTCTGTACCATAAAATTAAAAAGCATGGCGTGTATGTCATAGAAAATGTTATCTACAATTACTTAGAATCATAAATTACAAGATGGCCAACAATGGGTCAGGCTCCACTGTAACCAACGTGCCCTGATTACATAATTTGATTTCATAATCACCCTGTGAGTATGGTTATTACTATTATTCTCAATTTAAAAATAAAGAAGCTGAGTTGCAGGTTCAGAGGAATTCAAGTGCTTCTAGTTGAAGCAATTCCAATTGTAAGTAAAGAATTTATAAGGAGGAAGCAAAACCAACCAATACAAATACACACAAGAAAAACAACCCATACCCCAGAGAGATTTTAGAAAATAACAGAAAACCAGGAAGAGGATAAAGAAATTTACCTGTGAATTCTCCATCTCAACAGTTTGACTTTAGACAGAAAAGTTAATGACACGGGGATTCAATCACTTTTTCAGGTCAAGTTCTGATAGAGTGGGAATTCAGGTAAAGTGCTTTTAGCAAAGAGAAGAAATGTGATATTCATTATTATTATGATTGTTCTTATTCTGTAAAATGACCCGCCATAGCTGTGAGATTACTGAAGGTGAGAAAAACCAAGTCTGTCAACAAAAGGTAAACAAACGATATTTTAGTATGACTTGAAAGCTGGCATTTAGATTTATCTAATTTTTGAAGCATTTGAGTTTCTCCATTCAGAATATCGCAGTGTGTATTCCTCAAACACCTGTGGGGAGCAGCTCCTGGTGTCCAGGGGGGCTGACCCGACACGGGAGGCGGAGAAGGCGGCTGGAAGGCGGGGAGGCCAGGTGTCCACGGCGGAGCAGGAGCTCGTCTCTCCGCAGCTCGGGCCGCAGGAGCGCCGGGATGAACGCGGCGCGGGGCGCAGGGCTGCCTCACCCCGCGCCTGCAAACTGGCCCCCAAGGATCGAATCCTCTGCAGTCAGTGAGGCGGACTTATCTCAGGGTCACAAAACGGGCGTTCTGTGACGAACAGCGTGGAAGTCTTTTATGATATAATGTCTGAACACCTGGCCAAATCAAGAGCAAAACGGATACAGGCGACTCAGCAAAGAAGAGGGGCTGTGGAGGGGAAGGTGGGCAGCCCGCGCCGCCGCCTGCAGCAGGCGCCCGGGAGAGCGCCGGACACCGCGGCATCAGCCCCCGAAACGGCTGGAAAACCACTGCGACTCGGCCACCCTGGGGTCCTCCTGCCGACAGCTGGGGAGGAGAGGGGGCACATTTCTCACAGCCCAAGGGCAGCCATTCATTTGTTTATTAAAATTTTTTTAAAAAATTGAAGTACAGTTGATTTCTAGTGTGTTAATTACTGCTGTAAAGTGATTCAGTTATAGAAACATACATGTATATTCTTATCATCTTTTCCATCATGGTTCATCACAGGGGACTGAATACAGTTCCCTCCGCTGTATGGTAGGGCCTGCGGCTGGTCAATTCTATATAGAACAGATCCCATCTACTAACCCCAACCTCCTGCTCCAGGAGGTGGTCCTTTAGTGACCTTTGGGTTGAGGCACCTCAGAAAGATGGAATATGCTTGTCCCCTTACCTCCTCACCCCCAAAAGAATACTGAGAACTGCCACTTGTCATAAATCATCTGCCTGCCAATGCAGGAGACCTAGGAGAGGTGGGTTCTATCCCTGGGTCAGGAAGATCCCCTGGAGCAGGGCATGGCAACCCACTCCAGGCTTCTTGCCTGAAGAATCCCATGGACAGAGGAGCCTGGCGGGCTACAGTCGGCGGGGTCACAGAGTCAGACCACTAAGTGACTCAGTATAGCACTGTGAGGCTATTAGCATAGCTCTGCTGGTCTCCCTGGCGAGCATTAGGAGCTACTGAGCTTTACTGAAGGAATGTTTCATGTTATTATAAGGGATTATTTACATTTTTTATCTACTTTTTTCTGATGATAGCTAGTCCCTTGGGCTGCAAAGAGATCACACTAGTCAATCCTAAAGGAAATCAGTCCTGAATATTCACTGGAAGGACCAATGCTGAAGCTGAAGCTCCAATACTTTGGTCACCTGATGTGAAGAGCGGACTCACTGACAAAGAGCAGTCTCAAGACTAGTCAGGCCAGGGTCAGGATCTCCATGTAGAAAGGCAGTCAATTTATCTACCTACCTACCTACCATACATACCTATGTATCTATACATGTATATCTAACTATGTATGTATCTATGTATCTATCTACCCATGGATCTATCCATTAATCCATCCTCCCATCTCTTTACCCATCTGAATAAATTTGATGTGCCACACTGTGTAAGTTTAAAGTGTGCAAAGTGTTACTTTGATTAATTTGTATACTGTAACACCACTGCTGATGAAATAATTATTAATTATGTAATTGTAGTACAATGTTATTGTTTATGTTCATCACATAGATGCATTAGATTTCTGTGGCTTATTTAGTACTAATTACAAGTTTGTACCTTTAAACACCATTATTCTGACCCCTCCCCTCCATCTCCTGGTAATCTCCATCTTTCTGTTTTTTACACATTTAACTTTTTTAGATTCCACAAAGAAGTACTATCATCATACAGAACTTGTCTTTGTCTGTCTGACTTATCTCACTTAGGATAATGTGCTCAAGGTCCATCCATGATGTCACACGTGCGAGGATATTTTTTTCTCATGGCTGAAAAATATTCCATTGTGTGTATGTATCATATCTTTTTTATCCATTCTTGATGGGCATTTGGGTTGTATCTGTGTTCTGGTAACTGTGAACAGTGCTGTGATAAACATGAGTGTGCATACATCTTGCTGAATTCCTGTTTTCATTTCCTTTCGGTATATACTCAGAAGTGGAATTGTTCGATCCTATGGTAAGCAAACCCATTTTTAATTTTTTCGAGGAGCCTCCATAGTGGTTGGACCTGTCTTCATTTCGACCTTCAGGGGTTGGTTCTCTTTTCACCACATCCTCACCAGCACTTGTTGCCTTGTCTTTTTCATGACAGCCACTCTGACAGGCATGAGGTGACAGCTCACTGTGGTTTTGACTTACATCTCCCTGACGTTGGATGAGGTTGAGCATCTTTTCATGTGCCTGTTGGCCATCTGTATGTCTTCTTTGGAGAAATGTCTATTTAGTTCTTCTGCCATTTTTCTATTGTTTCATTTTCTTTGTTATTGAATTGACTGAAGGTCAATGAAGAATCTGCCTGCAACGCAGGAGACCTGAGTACGATCCTCAGGTTGGGAAGATCCCCTGGAGAAGAGAATGGCTACCCATTCCAGGATTCTAGCCTGGAGAATTCCACAGACAGAGGAGCCTGGTGGGCTACAGTCCATGGGGTCACAAAGAGTCAGACACAAACAACTAACATTTTTAGTTTTACTTTATATATTTCAGATATTAACCTCTTGTCAATATATGCTTTGCAGAGACAGTCTTTCATTTCGTAGGCTATCTTTTCATTTTGTTACTTGTCTGTTTTGCTGTGCTGAAGTTTGCACATTTGCTGTGGTGCCATCTTTGATTTTCATTGTCGTTTGTGGTTTTGGTGTTGTGGCCCCCCAAATTATTGCCAAAACCAGTAAGGAAGAGCTTCTTCCCTGTTTTTTCTACAAGTTCTAGGGTTGTTAATAGTTCAGTTGCTGAGTCATGTTTGACTCTGCAATCCCATGAACTGCAGCATGCTAGGCTTCCCTGTCCTTCACCATCTCCCAAAGTTTACTCAGATTCATGTCCATTGAGTCGGTGATGCCATCCAACCATGTCATCCCCTGTCATCCCCTTCTCCTCCTGCCTTCTATCTTTCCCAGCATCAGGGTCTTTTCCAATGAGTCAGTTCTTCGCATCAGGCAGCTGAAGCATTGGCGCTTCAGCATCAGTCCTTCAAATGAATATTCAGGTTTGATTTCCTTTAGGATTGACTGGGTTGATCTCCTTGCAGACCAAGGGACTCTCAAGTTTTAGGGTATCAGGTCTTATGTTTAAGTCTTTGATCCATTTTGAGTTGATTTTTCTGAGTGTTGTGGTAGGGGTCTAATTTCATTGTTCCGTGTGAGTTTTTCTAGTTTTTCCAGTACCATCGCTGAACAGGTTTTCCTTTCCCTAATGGGTTTTCTTGGATCCCTTGTTGAAATGTCAGTTAACCATACAGTTCTGGGATCTCTAGTCTGTTCCACTAGTAGATGTGTCTATTTTTGTACCATTGCCTGTTTTTATTACTATGACTTTGTAGTGTAGTTCAAAGTCCAGGAGCACGAGGCCTCCAGTTTTGTTCTTTCCTGACTATTCAGGATCTTTCATGGTTCTGCCCACATTTTAGGATGGTTCTTTCTATTTCTGTGAAGAATGTCTTTGACATTTTAATGGAGATTGCACTGAATCTGTAGATGGCTTTGGGTAGTATGGTCATCTTATCAATATTAATTCTTCTGATCCACAAACACGAGATGTCTTTCCAATTGTCTGTCTTCTACAATTTCTTTCAGCAGATTTTGTAGTTTTCATTGTACTGGCCTTTTATTCTTTGGATAAAATTCATTCCATTTATTTCACTGTTTTTGATGCTACTATGAATGGGATGGTTTTATTTCTTTTTCATATGCTTCATCATTAGTGTAAAGGAATTCAATTTATTTCTGTGTGTTGATTTTGTATCCTACCACTTTACTGAAATTATTAATTAATTCCAACAGTTTTTTGACTAATTCTTCAGAGTTTTCTCTGTACAGGATCATATCATCAGAAAACAAAAACTGTACATCTTCCATTCTGATCTGCATGCCTTTATTTCTGTATGCTGCCTAACTGCTCTGGCCAGGACTTCTATTAGTATATGCTGAAGACCAGTGCTGAGGGTGGCATCCTTGCCTTGTACATGATCGTAAAGGAAACACTCTCAGTTTCTCTCCATTGAGTATAATGTTACCTGTGGGTCTGTAGTATACAGCTTTTACTATGTTGGTATGTTCCTTCCACATCCAGGAGACGATTTCTCCTTTAGCTCAGGGCTAGCAAAATTCAGAGATCAGTATTTACTGTTCAACACCAAATTGATACTTCAGGGTCTGCTTGTTAGGAATTTATTGGTGAAGAGTCCCAGGTGCCTTTGGCAAAACTGAAACACAGGCACTCAAAACCTCTCCGCAGCACCCTTTCCTCTTTGTATCACCTCTTTCATCTCCCTCGCAAAACCCGATTTAGAGGATGATCTAATATAATGAATTTATACCAGAGTGTGAATTTTAAGAGCATGTGTTCCTTCTTGCAAGGATTTAGGCAGCTAATCTCTCCCTGTAATTGGGGAAAGTTCAGTTTGGAACTGGGTTTGAGCTCCAGCTCTGCTGCCCACCTCCTAGGTGACCTGTGAGCACATGGTCTCCGAGGGCCACAGCGTTCTGACTGATGAAGAGTGGGGGATGGGGCCATGGGGGTAAATGCTGTCTCTGTGGCAAAGCTGCATGGGTTACATCAGGCACGCATTTTTACTGTATGCCTACGGAATCACCAGGCATCGTTCTAGATGCTGGGAATACAGCTGTGTGCTGTGCTGAGTCGTTCAGTCATGTCTGACTCTTTGCGGCCCCGTGGACTGCAGCCCGCCTGGCTCCTCTGTCCATGGGATTCTCCAGGCAAGAACACTGGAGGGGGTTGCCATGCCCTCCTCCAGAGGATCTTCCCAACCCAAGGATCGAGCCCAGGTCTCCC